CATGCCCCCCCCCCCCCCCCCCCACTTATGATTGTTTTGTGTTTACTTTGGTTGTTGTACATCTTTTTTGGATACATTTGTGTCTTTTTGCAGTCCCTTTATGTCTTTTTATTCTCATTTTCTGTCTCCTTGTAGTTATTTGGGTTCTTTTAGAGTGTGTTAAATGGGCTCAGTGACTTTCAAACATGAAATGTTACCAACCCCCCTGATCTCTCAGGACCCTGGGCCTGTACCCAGTAGGTGCATTCAGTAATCCAAAGGTTTACCAGGAATGTCACCATCCTGTGATCTCCCAAGCAGAACATGAGTGGAGACACAACCACCTACACCTGGGTAGGGGTCCGAATATGGAAATCCACATCTATTAAAGCTCAACAATAAGCAAGTGTCATCCCTTGATGTCCTGTTAAATGTCATTTTCTCATAGCTGCCTTCTAAGAGAACAGAGATAAAGCTTTAGAAATACAGACATTGTGTAGAAGCAGAACTCTTACCTTCTCTGGCTTTAATAAGCGCACTATTTGCTACCATGTCTTCAATCTCCATGGAGGAGTGTGTGTTTGTCCTAAAGGCTGTCCTCGTCTATTTGTCCAGACCTGTGATAAATCCAGTTGTAATGCTCTGACTGGAATCAAATCAGAGCTCACCAGCAGCCACTAAATAGCATCAGTCCAGTTGGTTGAGTCAAAGCAATGACGTGTGCCATTTGGCTGCTGTCTCACCTGTAGTCCCCGTGACGCACTAGTGAACAGAGATGCCGCTCTTTGCCCTTTTTGTACCACAGTGCGCTGCCTCGTCACAGAGGCGGGACGAAGGCTGCACAGCTCGTACGTCGTGTGTGGAGTTCATCACAGCAGAGGTGCTTTCAGGTGTCGTGCTTTGTTTGCATTCATACACAGGAGGCACAAAAACCTTAAAACGAACCGTCGGAGACCAGAAGCAGACAGGAAGCGAATAAGTGAGAAGGTTTAATAGAATAATTGGAGGGTAAGTAATTTTTGAATGTTATATTCATTTGTTTTAACGTCATAGTATTTGGTCAGAAAGTTAATAATAAAATGTGTGGATTTTTTATTTCAGCTAACACCGGCGTCTTATGTTTTAAATACACTGATTAAAAACAGCATCGTGTGTAGAGAAGTATGCAATACATTTTGCAGTCCATTGTTAACACACTAAGCTACGACTTGTAATTAATCACATAGGCCGTAATCGGTGTAATAGAAATCTGTTGTACTGGTTTGACCTGTGGTTAACAGAGTAAGTAACTATTGAATGGTTTGCTCGAAGGTCTGAATCCATAATGCCACAAGTTTCCCCAAATACCTGACGAAGGTCGAAAAATACTGTGACGGTTGAGAGGAGCTGGCCTGACCCTGTCCTATACTGGACAGTTAACTATCCAGCAGTGTGCCGGCACCTGGCTCAACAAGGAGGAGAACACCTGGTTTGTCTTTTGTGGTTTTATTGAACGCGGTATGGAGACACATGAAAACGCTGTTCAAACTGGCACCATGTGCTCTCTCAAGAAAATAATAAAAGAATAAACAACACATCTCCCAGAACTTCACCATCGCCCGCCAACAGAACCAAACCAACACGCCCACCTGTCATCCCTCTTATACCGTCCCGCACCTGTTCCTCCCCACATTGGCCAGAACAGTGCGGCATTTCGCAGAAAACAGCGGTAACACACACAGTAAGTGGTAACCAATACACGCACAGCTTTCACAACAGTGTCAAACCCATTTGCACACAACAGAACACACGAACATCAGCGACCGGTCAGGGTCGCCACACTATGCAATAAAAACTTTTTCGTTTTAATGGTAACAAATCTATGCAGACGCTTTAAAATGCGCAGTGTTGTGACTGTCCGACGCCACCCATTCAATCATTTTACTGTATCTTTACAATTAATAATTTTAGGCAGTTGAAATAATCATCACGCTATTTTTTTTTTTTTCAAAAAAAAAAAAACTCTAAACCGCTTTATTACTTTAACTCCATTAGGTCAGACTGTGAATTGACAATAAAATCCTTGAACCCCCTTGAACCCTAAACGTGTATGTCACAGTTGACCACTGGGGGCGCTGTGCTCAACTTTCGGCATCAGCGAAAATGTTGACGCCATTTCCGGTCGCCATCTTACTTTTTGTGAAAAGCAAATCTTCTGACCCTAGAAACTGACAAAAATTGACATTTTCCTGAGCTGGACCGGGATATTTTTGATCCCGTATCGTTAGAAGAGTCTACGAGGATTCGGGAACTGCCTTCAGAAATCGGGTACGTGTTATGAAACGACTCGTGTCACATACAGTCGAGTCCCAGAGAGCATCTTCTCTTAAACCCGTAACATCGTTACATAAAAAACAATTTCTGAATGTATTTCCGGATTCCTCAGACTCTTAACAATACGGAATAAAAAATAATCCGGTCCAGTTCAGTAGGATAAAGGGAACATTCTTACATTTTAATCTATACATCATCTAATAAAAAACGCACCTAGTGCTTCTCCTATTCATAAGTGTTAACAGTATATGGTCCTTTTATTTCTAGAGCCCCAGTTGTTATATTGGTTGTAACGTTTCATTTTGTTTTTTAATTCTTGCAGGGCTCACCTAACCATTCCTGCCCATGAAATGGCAAAGTACATGAGTCCTGCATTAAGGATTGCGTTGAAACGCTGTGTGCCAGTGCATTGTCAACCTTCTGTATGTGGAACAGCTGTGCCCCAATTGTCATTGTATTCCAGATGTTGGAATAGCCAGGCACTTCTTAGAAGTACTCCAGTTGGCACCCCCAAGCTTTCGGCTGCCATATGTTTTAGTGGAGCTTCTGTTTTCAGACTAGAAAAGGTAACAGGAAAACACGTTTCTGTCTTGTATGTGTAATAGCATGCAATTTGTTTTTCTTTTCTTTTTTTTTTTACTGCAATTGACACAAATCAATCCTGTTTCTCCTTTTATCTTTGATCAGATCTACAAATCTATGCAGCTTCAGGTCTTCCAGTGTGACACCTTTCAGCACCATAAATGTGTTGAATTTGTAACATCTTTAGAGGATTTTCACCCAAGATTACACCCTCTGTTGAAAGTGGCCATATTCCTGACATTTCACTGCATAAAGGCTCCTTTGGTTTCAGTGTGTGCATGGTAACTGTGAAACACACTACATGTGTTATGGTGAACTTATGCAGCTCAAGAACAAATGTGTTATTTATCATAGATGGATCAGTGCCTGTCTTTTGTGTTCAGTAGTGTGACCAAACGTTGTGGTGAGGTTTGTTTAGACCAGCGACACACATGCATCAGATCAGAAACACATGATTCAGCATGGATACTTAAGGCCTGTTTGTTAAGACTTCCCTTTTATCAAACATTACCATCAGCATTTAGGAAGGAAGGCATGTGAGGAAAAAGTCACTTGAGTCTGTGTTAATGCAGTTTACACGTCTTACGAAATGATCTGAGGAGCAGAGATGTCACAGTGCAGTCAGATGAGGGGCTGTGGTGTGCTGCTGCTCTGCAGCCTTATGTGCCCTCACTATGTGTGGCACGATCATGTGTACGCTCCGCGAGAGAGAAACTCTTCATCACCCAAATTCACCAAATCCATCAATAAAGATGTGTGAGGCATCACAGATCAGCCAGGTTCCGCTAAGACGTTTAGCAGTTCCACCAACAGTTAAACTAATTCAGGTTGATAATACTGCTTACTACTTCACAGTATAGGTATGTAAGGTAGTTAACATCAGCTCCACCTTTACCACCTGAAGCATTAAAGTCATGGACCCTAAAAATGTACCAATAGTTATAATCCAATAATATAATGTGCCATTCGGCAAAATTATTACTTTAGTATTTTGGTATTAAAGTATATTTTGATGCTAATACTTTTGTACTTTTTCTTAAGTAAACTATCTGAGTACTTCTTCCACCGTTGGTAGGTTGTGTAACATCTTCCTCCAGCACCACTCTTTTGTCTTTAATTCCTCTCCAGTGGATGTTTGACCACTTATCTCCTGGAAAACAGCTGCAGGACATCTGGACCAAACAGTAAAACAGTGAAAGGTGTGTTTTATGATTGTGCAATGTAATACATTCTATGTTATGATGTTCTATGGTTTATGATAGACTATGTTAACAACAGAGGAAACAATAAGAGCCTCAGCCATCATCAAGGCCCGTGCACATCTTTTATTCTTTATTGTGGTGAATGCCTGTCATGTTAACTTGGTTGTGTTCTGCTCTGAAGCACATTATTGGAGTTGCACTCCAAATTTTGTTGAACTTGTACAATGACAATAAAGGCATTTCTCATTTCTGAAATGTGTCAGTAGATGGATATAGAGAAATGAAGAATAGCTACTGTATAGACCCCAGATGTTGTCGCCTGACTATCAGCCCTCTGTCATGGAGACAGGTGGACGGTGTCTGTTAAACCTGAGAATCTAATGCCTGGTTGTTTTCTCAACCAACACTCCTCCACACAGCAGGAGCCAAGACATATGGAAAGGAGTTTGTTGACTTTTGTGTTTGGCTGGTCGAAGATGTTGAAGAAGACTGGAGAAACAACTTTCCCAGGCAGTTTTCTTAACGAGCTCAGGTGAACATTGCACATACTACAGCATCATAACATGGTATAGTCTTCACAAAGAATCAGCCGTCTTGTGTTTAACAGTGACTAGAGAAATCCCTGGCATTACGTCCTAACTTTAGCCTGTCCTAACACACACTGTACCACATTTAGCTGCAATGCACTCAGTCAGTTCTCTTGACCATATACAGCATGTCGTACCAATCACATGATTATTATCAGAATGATTGGTTCATGCTGGTTTGATGCTTTTTAAAAACCCTTTCTTCATTTTATCTTCATCCTTCTGCAGCCACTGCATTGGTAGTGTGTGAGTTTAAGTTAGTCTAAAAGTAGTTTTTTTGCCTTTTTGTCCTGTGTACATAGGTTAGGGCTATCTCTGCAGACCTTTCCTGTGCTATCAAGAGTGCCCTTGTTTTCTTTTCCAGTGTCACTGAGACTTTTACCTGAATGTTTCATTCTGGATATCAAACCACAAACGCTGCACAGTCCTGCTTCCTTCACTTAAGGATAATGAGCTGACCGTGAAGAAGTCCTACCCTCACAGTCACACTGAATGCTATCAAACCACAGCTTCAGCTTCTCTTTCGCCTGTGTGTGTGTGTGTGTGCTTCTCTTTCCCCTGTGTGTGTGTGTGTGTCATATTGTGCCAGTGTACCACACTGGAAATCTGTGTGTCTGACTGCAGTTTGAGCGGGCACTGCAATTCCCAGACATCACGGCGATGTGGGGGCGTGGCCTAAAAGTATAAATAAGGCGACAAACATCGCAGCAAGGCTTGTTCATGAGGGGACTCAAAGAGCCGGTTCTCCTGCTGGTGGGGTCTTAAACCTTCTCCTCTGACAGTGGAGACGTTGCTGTAGACATCCCCCAGTTGGCAACTCGCTTTAACTCATCTGTGGACATAAACAAACCGCGCTACAAACACTGACTGTCAGCTGGAAATTAGAAGCTATGGCTGTTAATGCACCCAGAGTCGCTCTTGTATTTATTGTGGCGGGTGTCCTGGTCCTGGTTTTTGGGACGGTTCTTGTTTTTGTGGGACCATTAGTCATCGATGACCAAGTAGTAAAGGTAAGAAGCTGCGTCCTGACACGTGAAGCCCGTGTTTTAATGTGGAGGGTTTGTTTACCCTTTAACAGTAAATTATTATATGAGCTGCTTAGAATAAAACCAATGAATCAAAGAATGACTGGAATACAGTAGCTGTCTGTGGAATGTAGTAGAGTAGAAGTACAAAGTAGCAGAAATGGTAAATACTCCAGTGCAAATACCTTGAATTTGTCAGTAGAGTACTTGAGTAAATGTACCACTGACAGTATGTGTAGTGAAATGCAGTGGTGCAGGGTGTGAAGGCTGTAACACTAGTGTGAAAGAACATCAGTGTCAATTTAATTATATAGTACAATTAAAAACAACAGTTGACCGCAGTGCTTTACAGAACAACACTATGACAGAATAATATAACAAAACAATACAGAAAATAAAAACAATCACTAAAACTACAGGCCTACTTAGAAGAATACTATTATATCTGTACGTGTGGAAAGAGACATTTAAAAACAAAAAAGTATCCAGTGTCAAAATACAGTACCGGAAACCAGAAAAACACAAAAAATGGCCTAAATAGATCAAATTTACAGTAGTAAAACTGAGTCAAATGCCTCAACACAGTTAAATGTTTTAAATCGAGCTTTAAAGTACAGATCTTAGGTTGGTAGCCGATGTAAGAGTAACTGGTTTACAACACAGTGAATGTGCATTTGAGGTGTCTTCATGTCTCTGTGTGGATCTGTCTTGTTGCTGTTAATCTCGCTGGAGCCAGAGTGAGCTCTTGAGTCCCACTCCTTCTTCCAACATTTACCTAGACTGAGAGACTTAATAAAGATGGTCATCAGCACCCAATGATTCACAGCTGCAGCAGTGGTGAGGAGGTACAGGAAGCACAATGCTACCAATAGCGAAGGAACAGCGGTCGTCCTCAGAACATGAAACCGTCCACAATGCACTGTTTACACTGAAAAACAATTAGTCTAAGCCAATAACATTCAAGGCAGTCGATAGAAAGTCTTCTTGCTGTTTGGTTTCCTAACTGAAGATTCTTCTGTTTTATGTCAGTGTTTTGATATTATGAAGACTTTAGAAACTTTTCAGAAAGTTGTTCAAATGATTCAAAACTGTAAAAAGATACCACTATTTATCAATAATATTTTTAGCTAAATTGCAGTGATTGGTGGTTCCAGCTTGTGAAATCTGTAGATTTGGTGTTTCTTTGACATAGCAAACTGAGTATCTGGGGACGACTTTGGTTCAGTGGGTAGAGCAGTCGTCTCTAACTGGAGATTTGGAGGTTCAAATCTCGGTGCCTGCAGTCCACATGTCAAAGTGTCTTTGGGCAAGACACTGAACCCCCCCGATGGTTAGAGCCATCGGTTGAGTTGACGCCGCAGATGGCTGCCTCGGTTCTGTACCGGAAACAAATTCCTTGTGTGTAACATACTTGGTCAAATAAAAGTGATTAGAAAGTAGGAAAGTTGTCTGCAGATAAATCAGTAATGAAAACTGTGCGTGGTTTCATCTATCTATTTTAACCCTCCCATGTCAGAACACAGTGATCGACCCAAAGAACGAGGTCTCCTACACCATGTGGAAGGACGTCCCTGTTCCCTTCTTCATGTCAGTCTACTTCTTCCACATCCTCAACCCCAAGGAGATACTGAGTGGAGAAAAGCCTGTGGTGCAACAGAAAGGACCTTATGTGTACAGGTACAGCTTTGACCTCCCAGGTCATCTCTTCTGCTTTGGCTGCTCTGATTGGCTACTTAGTTTGTCAGATATGGAAGACATTTTGGTCCACATGTGGATGATCTGTAGTATGAGGCAGTACCTGCAACCCAGTCAGGTTGCACAGGCAGTCCAGTTATTCCAAGATGGCGCATCCATACGTTCAGTCACTAGAAGGTGTACCCCAGTCAGGTTGCACAGGCAGTCCAGTTGTTCCAAGATGGCGCATCCATACTGTCTAGAAGGTGTACTGTGTCTCCCAGCACAGTCTCAACAGCATGGAGGAGATACCAGGAGGCCAGCTGTTACCCCAGGAGAGCTGAGGTGAAAGAGTCTGGAGATGCCATGGTGACCATTATGTTGCCTGTAACATCATCAAGTGTGACCGGCTTAGTGGTAGGTCTCTGGAGGCATGTCCCTGGAGGGCTGCACAGACCTTCATGTCATAGCCAATGGTACCCTGACTGCTGTGAGATACCGGGATGAAGTCCTCAGAGTGACTGTCAGGCATTGCGCTGGTGCAGTAGGCCCTAGGTTCCTCCTGGTGCCGGACAATGCCTGGCCTCATGTGGCCAGAGTGTGTAGGTAGTTTCTGGATAACGAAGGCATTGATGCCATTGCCTGGCCCTCATGTTCCCCTGACCTAAATCCAGTTGAGCATCTATGGGACATTATATATCGGTGCATTTGACGCCTCTGAGTATGACCACAGACTCTCCAGGAGCTCACTGACACCCTGATATGCAGGTCTGGGAGAAGACCTCCCAGGACACCATCCGCCAACTCACCAGGAGCATGCCCAGATGTTGTCGGGAGTGCACACAGGCACAACGAGGCCAAACACACTTCTGAGCCATGTTGCGAGCTGGTGGATGGGCCTGTGATTTCAAGATTTTACTTAGATTTTCATTTTGATTTTGAATCCAGCCCTCCATGGGTTGATGATATTGGTTTCCACTGACCATTGTTATGTCATTTTGACTAATTCGTTCAAGATCCGATGTGTAATTTAAGTGTTCCCTTAATTATTTTGAGCTGCCTTCATCCTCTTTATCACATTGGTAGGATTTTGTGTTCTAAGTGTAGGTTGTTTGCCGATACAGCAGCATTCACCCATAAGGTATGGAAGCCTGTATGTAGCCTCGGGCCACATTCTGGGCAGCATGTCCAGAAACCCTTATTGCACCACTTGCTGGTTATGTTTTGCTGTGATTGCAGTAATAAGTGAAGGAGACTCGGACGAATGTATCAACATTTTGATTGACTCAGATTCTCTCTCATCTGGAGGCAGAACGATGTCCAGAGAGACTTGAGTGAAAGTGAGGGGGACAAAAATAGTTTTGAACCATAGCTTTGGTTTCAGGTGCACCTCAGCAGAGAACAAGGGTGTGTGCACACCTAATAGGTTTTGCCTTTTTCAGAAAACACATTCAGAAAAACAACATCACGTTTCACCCCAACAACACGGTGTCCTACAAGGAATACAGAAGCTACAACTTTGAACCGTCCATGTCTGTGGGGAACGAGTCTGATGTTATCACGATCCCAAACATGTTGGTGCTGGTAAGACACTGTTGTCTCCTCACCCAACACATTTTCTCATGCTGATTCAGACACAATGCATTGTTCAGTTTCCTGCTTTTTCGCTGCTGTCTGGGTCTTCAGGGTGCAGCAGTGATGTTGGAAAACCTCCCCATCCCTGTGCGTTTAATAATCAGCATCGCCTTCAAGTCTTTCAAAGAGGGACCCTTTCTGACCAAGACAGTAGGGGAGCTGATGTGGGGTTATGACAGCCAACTGGTCGAGTTCCTCAGTAAATACTTGCCTGGCATGCTGCCCGCATCGGGAAAGTTTGGCCTCTTTGCTGAAGTGAGTATTTAAAATGGTTCATTACACTTGTAGGAGTTCAGGTTTTTGGTCTTCAAGTCGGAGAGGCTGACATGGGGGCAACTAGTAGGGGGAGAAAAACTGCCAAGTTACATGTTGTTGCTTTAATTGGGAGGATTTTCCAGCAGCTTTGTTTGTGTGAACACATCCTTACAGTGAGGTCTGGCCAGTTTAGACACCCTGGTGAAATGTGTGACCAAAAGAGACAAACGGTGTGGATAGGGTTGTGGCAGCTAGAATGGCTACTGTAGC